CTCCTCCCGCATCCTACCCCCCTTCCCCACCACCTTCCACCCCCCTCTCCCCCTCCAGCCATGCGGATCGCGCCTGCTGGTGGGAGCTGGCAGCATTGGCAGCGCACGTGCACCCCACAGTCTCCCGCCTCGCCGCCTCTCTCCTCTCAGGGGAACCCGCCTCCTTCACAGGCGACCCCATCCAAGACCTCTCCCTCTCCGCCTTCCTGGACCGCTTTGCTGAGAAGCAGCAGATGAGAATGAAAGCTGCAGGTAGAGAGAACGCCGCTTCTGCTGCTGCGGTGGCAGCGGCGGGAGGGAGGAGAAGCGTGGGGTTTGCGGGTGGGATGGGGAGGGAAGTGGGGAAGGATGGGGGGAAGGGGCAGGTTCAGGCGCATGATGCGTTTTTCCATCAGTTTTATGCGATGCAAGGGGAGTTGGGGTCGCGATGGAACAAGGGGGAGAAGAAAGGGGGAGAGGGTTGGGGGAAGAGAAGGGATGAGGAGGAAGAGGAGGGATTGGATGTTGATATGAAGATTGCAGAGGATGGTGATATGAGAGAGGATTTGGAGGAGGGGGATGAGGGGGAGGAAGAAGAGGAGGAAGATGAGGAGGAAGATGAGGAGGAGGATGAGGGAGAGGAGGGAGAGGAAGGGAAAGGGTTTGTGGGGGGAGGGTTCCTGGAAGTTTCTGATGATGATGAGGCTGCTGACGAGGCAATTAAGAACTGGATGGATGAGGAGGGAGGCGATGGGGGGAGCGATTTCAGTGAGGGAGAGGAGGATGTGGAGGAGGAGGAAGAGGAGGAAGGGGAGGAAGGGGATGGCGGATTTGAGTTTGATTATGATGACATGGATGATTTGCCTGGGGAGGACGCAGTGGGAGATGAGGAGGAAGAGGAGGAGCTGGAAGAGGGAGAGGAAGAGGAGGATGAGGGTGAGGGTGAGGGTGAGGGCAAGGGGGCGGGGGCAGGAGAGGAGGAGGGAGAAAGTGAGGAGGAAAAACAGGTGGTAGCGACTAAGTCAAGCTTGAGGAAGGGAGGCAGCAGTGGGAAGGCAAAGAAGGAGCGTGCACCGGAGAATGTGAAGAGGGGCGGGAGCAAGAGAGCAACAGATAACCAGAGTGATAAGAATGAGAATGTGGAGAAGCCTTCAAAGAAGCAGCGGAAAGGGGAAGTGGGGGTTGATGCCGGCGGGGGGAAATTCAAGAAAGCGGACAAGAAGAGCCATGGTGGAAAGATGAAAGGAGGTCTATCTAGTAGCCCTTTCGCAGACTTTGATTCGTATGCCCATTTGTTGGATGAATGACTGAATTGATTGATGTGTGTTCTGTCGATTTATGGATAATAGGAAGCTTGTCTCGCCTTGCTGTTGAATTATGCATGTAACACTCAACAGATTTCTTAGTACCCAATTAACAAAATGTATGCTGGTGTGAAGAGTAAATCGTCATTACGCGCGACGCAACAACGCGTACATTACTGTCGTTAGCAACTTCGTCGTCCCCTATCACATCACCCTCATACAACCCGCAACAGCGCATTCTCCGCGCGCCTCTTCCGCCCCCCTCTTCGGCCCCGCTCTTCCGCCTGCATCCTCCTCCCGCATCTTCCGCGCCCTCCTCGCGTGACCATCGCCGCTTCGAATCCCTAAATCCATAGTCGCAAGCGAATATTCTCATTTCCTCTTAGCTGCGCTCCACCTTTAGAACACCGCGTCGCTGTGCTCCACCTACCGATGTTCGCCACGTGGCTGCGCCTCGCGGCCCGTCAGACGCACGTGGGCGAGGCGGCTGAGAAGGGTTCGGCGGCGGTGATCCTCCGGATAGTGCGGGAGCACGGGCCCTGCAATAAGAACGTGCTATGGACGCACGCGGAGGTAATAAAGAACGTGTTGAGTCGGTTATTGAGGCGCGGAGATGTGTTCCCAGCGTCCGCTGATTCCGTAAATATATGGTTTAACGAATTCATTGATACGAGGTATGACGAAGGTCCACTTTGACCGGAGTATAGTGAAGCGGATCATAATTGCTTTACAGAATAGAAACTAGACAGCAAGAGAAAACGAGGGAATAATGTCAGCAGTATTGCGAGCAGGAGAAAGGGTAGAAGTGGCCGATAGAAATGAGATCAGTTTTTAGGAAAATGCCAGCTCGAACATGCTCAGGGCTTGGTCGAGCAGTGGTTTCAGCGGTATGCAAGAGGAAGGGGGTAAGGGAAGACGTGGGGGGGAAGAGGGAGAATGGGGAGGGGAGAAGAGGGCGGATTCTAGGGGAAATGGCTGTTACAAGGCGCTGCAGCACTAAGGCTTTGAATATCTTTTTGGTCTGAAGGGATCGCCTGAAGGGAGCCAGGATTCTGGGCTGTACCTAGGGATCCTTTGGGTGTTTGGCCAAGGCAGTCCAGTTCCTGCAATGCCCATTTCGTTTTACTTTTCCTCCGTTCTTCCCTTTCCGATCTCCCGTTCCCCCTCTCGCTTCTCCCATCAACCTCACATCCCTCGTCACCACGAGGCAGGGGTGAAGAAGAAGCGGCGCATGAAGCTCATGCTGCGGTGGCCTATGCATACTCATTTTGTAGATGAATCATTTAAAACCGGAGTCTCAAGTTCCCTTCAATTGCCTCAACCTTCCTACCTTTGGTTGGGTCACCAGGTCCAACCAACCTTCCTACATTTGAAAGGGCCACTAGGTCCAACCAACCTTCCTACCTTTGAAACCTGTCGACCTCGGGTTTGAAGTGCCTTACTCTCGATCGACCATTGCCATCCTCACGTCTCCCTTTCCTCACCACTAAACACCCCCGCATCCCCCGTCATCAGGAGGCAGGCATGAAGAGCAAGCGGCACATGAAGCTCATGCTACGGTGGCTCATGGAGAAGAATCAGATCCGCATCAAGTGCCTCACACATGACCCCTCAGCGCCACACCAAGCAGGTTCGGCAGGGTCAGCAGGTTCGGCAGCAGCTGCCGCTGCTGCTTCGAGGGGAGCTGGATCGGGTGCCTTTCCTGCGGCGGCGGCGGCGGCTAGAGTGCAACCGGCAGGTGTGAAGAAGAGAGGGACGAAGCATGTGTCTGTAGAGAAGGAATTTATTTACTCCATTGCCCCGAGATATGTTCCACCAAGCTCGTGACCATATTTTGAGTTGCTTTGCAAACCTTAAAAGAGGAAGTGTTTGACGAGGTTTTGTGGAAGTGGCACTGTATGAACCTCAGTTGTGTTGCGTTAATGAAGCTTTGATCCATAGAGAAATGTTGAGCTGTACGATAACGTACTTGTCTATACTATCTTTGAGGACGTGCTGCTGGAAAACGTCTGGTCAGAAGGATCATGTGTAGAGGCGGTTGATGAAATGGGCTTAGTATCCACAATCTATACCGAGTTCGCTGCTTTGGCGAATATCGGGTGGGTTCAGCGACGGGGCTGTTGTTCAACTTGCGCCAATTGTTCTTCAAGTCAAGCACATGCGACAGTCGTCAAGTAGGGCAGGGCATTCAGCTTGTGATGAATGGATGATTCTGCGCTGCACAGATTGTTGTAGACGTATGCATGCACGTGTACGTGGTGTGGTTTCACTTGCTCGATGTGGTCCTCCAGAGAAGTCGGTTCTAACCACACTGTAAAGTACCGCACCTCTCCCTCCCGATTCCGCCAAGTTGAAGGAACTCTACTCTGCCCAAACTGTCACGACTTCATAGAGAAATTAGTGGCGCGTCCGACTCCCTTCAGGGCAGCAAAACTTTCGTGGATCTTTCGATGAACCCGAGGCCGAGGCTCCCAGAAGCAGCAGTGTCGCACACCGCCGCATGGCCATCGACTGATCCCTGACCTGAGTCGACGATTTTCCAACGTCTGGCAAACGCTTTACCGCACCTTCCAAACGACTGCCATGCCAACCTGTTGACGCCGCCGAGCCAGTTTTCCCCCTCTTGGTCGGAAAATCGGTTGTCGGAGAATTCGCTCGGTCACTGCAGGCAGTGCGAAGGAGGGACATGGCGGTTCGGCCGGCTCCTTCGAAATTGTGATTGCTCCCGTCATCAACAAGGCTCTTCCCCTGCCCGACCAATGAGGTCTGGCGGGACGCGTTCAACTTGGTCAGGTTAATTAGCCAATCAGCTTCGAAGCGTCTCTCACGGCAATCCCAAGGCAATAGAGCTCCAACCATAACAAACCACACAACCGTACGTTACAAAGGTTTAACGCAAACAACCCTATCAAACCCAGCTTTACAGACCAAGCCATCTCAGGTTTGTTCCTGGCGAACCAGGTTGAGCGGGGCAAGCGGAGCCGTTGAATGTCAGCGCCTCTGATCATCACCCCCGCCAGCAATCTCGTCAGTCCCCGCCACCGATCCCAGGAACCCCCGCCAGCACTCACCATTTTCCCCCGCTCCCGAAAGGTACCGCACACTGCACTACTTCCCCCTCCCCTCCCCCTCCCCCTCCCCCACCTCTCCCCTGCGACAAGACACACCACACGCGGAACTCCCCTGTCGCGCCCTCTCTTCCGCGTTCGTCACGCGACTCCTCAACCTCAGCAGCAGCACCAGTTGAAACCAGGCTGTAAACGTTGGCCTGTATTTCCGCAGCATTCGGCTGGGAGAGAATCCACAGCACATATAAACCACTCAAGACACACCAGCCCCACTCAACTCGACTCTCTCGATTTTGCCATTATTGCAGCCTATAATTTCCCCGGTTGTGATAAACTCAAGCAAGTCATACCAAATTACAGGAAGTCTAGTTCCTCATTGAACTTCTTGGTAGTATCCGCTTGCGCAGCTATAGTTAGTACAAACAGAGCTTGGGGACGCTGTCCTTATTCAGCAGCCCTTGCCGTGGCAGTTCCTTGCTGCTATTGTACAGCCCAGTTCTTTTCATAGTCTTTCGTTTTTCCGAGAAGCTTCGTCGCATCTGTTGTTCCTCTCAGCTACTCCTTCTCTAGTTCCTTCTCGGTCCTGGGCGAGTGTAACCGAGTGCAGCAAAACCAGCAGATACAGCAAAAGCAGATACCGGCGCTCAAGATGCCGTACTGTGTGATTCCGACAAATGCAACCAGTGGGAAGGGAAACAACGGAGCGAGTGCGAAAAGGGCAGGAAACAGCGATGATGCACAAGTGAAATTGTTCTATGAGACTTATGGCAGCGGCGACAAGAAAGTGCTCATGATCATGGGTAAGTGACGCGCTGAGGCGCTCAACACGAAATTCGAGATTCATAACACTTTTGATGGCTTGTTTCTATTCTATGTGGAGTGCTGAATATTTTCGGATAATTTATTCTCATTTTTTCTTCCTTCTTTGTGAATTTGCTACCCCTTGCAGGATTTGCTGCCTCGCACATTGCATGGGCGCCGCAGATCAAGCCGCTTTCCGGCACCGACATTCCCAACAGCAAACGGATGTCGAAGCAGCCTAAAACGGATTCCGCTGCAGCACCAGCCACCGGCTCGGACGACAATACCGCCGCTCCTCCTGCCATGCGCATGGACGACCGGTCTGGATGCATGGATAATGGCGACTGTACGGTTACGGTGACAATAGAGGGGGCGGAGGAGCGGAGTGATATGCAAGCTGTCGCGGACGGTGGGCTTGAGCAAGCGGCTTTGCGGCTGGAGGAAGAAGGGAAGGAACAGAGGGAAGCGGAAGGAAGCGCGGAGGAGGAAGGGGAGGATTTGATTCTCACGGGCAGGGAGGTCTGCGTTTTCGACAACCGAGGGATTGGCAACAGCACGTGTCCCACGGACAAGAATGCTTACACGTGCGTATTCCCTATTGGTGCTTCGTGTAAAAAAGGATTCAACTGTCATTTAGACAGTACAAGCCTGTCGGTTACGCCAATTGTCTCATCTCTTCTGCCTTGCCTTTCTCAACATAATGTACACCTTTTCCTTTTCCCCTCTTCCGTATTCATCAGAACTGCGATAATGGCGATGGATGCACTTCATCTGGCGGATCACCTCGGCTGGACGCATTTCCACCTTGTTGGGCATTCCATGGGCGGCATGATTGCCAGCAAAGTCGCTGCCACCGCTCCCCACCGAGTGAAATCCCTGGCGCTTATCAGCGTCAGCGGCGGCGGCTTTGACCTCCTACCCAGGGTATGCAACCTGGACCATGTTCCATCTGTTCCATGTGTTTCGTGTGTTTTTCTTGAATGTTTTTTTGTGCTCAAGGCCATTCTGTCAGTTCTGCCCGTGTGAATGCGTGTGTGTTGCACGTGTGGCGGCCCCTACTTGAACTCCAACTTGGACCACCACACGTGAACCTTGTTGCTCAGTTCTGTTTCCCTGCGCCTTCCTCCCGTATCTCTCCCCCTCTCCCACCGCCTCTCCCCTTCTCTTCTACCCAGCTCGACAGCCGAATCTTCTCCGTGGGCGTGAGGATGATGAAGGCGCGTACCCCCGAGATGAGGGCGCACGTGGACCTGGACACGCACTTCTCGAGGGAGTTCATGGACGAGGTGGCTGGCAGCTCTTCAAGGAGAGATCTCCTACACGTGGTGAGCAGAGCAGCATGGCAGCATAACGGCATAGCAGCAATATTTGCATGTGCATATAGGCGCACGTGGACCTGGACACGCACTTCTCGAGGGAGTTCATGGACGAGGGGGCTGGCAGCTCGTCGAGAAGGGACCTCCTGCACGTGGTGAGCAGAGCAGCGATGCAACACTGGCTGCTGCAGCACTCTCTAACGCCGCATGCTTCGTGCATACACCAGCTGACTCGTATAGACCATTTGGCCGTCCGTTCGTTTTCTGATGCGTGACACAGACATTCTCGAAACCGACTCGTGTTAGCTCTGTGACTGCTTGCTCAAGTCTTGACCTTGTGACTGTCCCTTTTCCTTCCGTCTCTCGTGCTTGCAGGTTCTGTCGGAGCCAGGGGCAATGCAGCCGCCACATGCAGCGAGCGGGCATTGGGACTCATGCTGCCCAACTCCTGCTAACCGTGTACCTCCTTCTTTCCCTCCACCTGCCTTCCTCCATCCCTCTGCCTCGCGCTTGCAGGAGTACGTGCAGGTTCTGTCGGAGCCAGGGGCAATGCAGCCGGCACATGCAGCGAGCGGGCATTTCAACGCGTGCTGGACGCACAAGCTGACCCGCGACAACATTGACCGCATCTGCAGCGCTCGCATCCCCACCGCCGTGATCCATGGAGTGTGAGTGCCTTTATGATATACCGTGAGAGGTTCTGATATGCCCTGTTTGTTGTTCGTTTCACGCATCACACACCTACCCGCATTGCACACACACACCAGCAGTGGGCTTGAGATTTTCCGGTTCCCTGACCTTCTCTATTCCCCTCTCTTCCTTCTCGCTTCCTCCCTGCAGTGACGACATCATAGCACACGTCTCCCTGGGCGAGCGAGTGGCCAAGCGCCTGGCGTCCGTAGCGCGGTTCATCCCCCTCCTGGGGGCGCACATGGTGGTGCGGGAGCGCACGCACGAGGTGAACGCGTGTCTGGAGGAGCTCTTTCACGCCGGGGAGACACGCGTGCCCGTGGAGCAGTGGGTGCGGAGCCGCAGTGATTTGGATCTGGCTGGCTCGGCGCGGGAACTGCATGAGAAGGCCAAGAGGAAGACGCTCGCGGCACAATTCAGGCACGGTGCTGCACACTCTCCCTCTGTTTTTTTCCTCTTCGTCGTCTTGTATCCCCCTCTCTCGTTTGGTACCTGCATTGCCCATCCCCTTTTCCTTCTTACCCCGTCCTTAGCATGCTCGCTTAGATACCCTTCCTCACCCCCCTTCTCCTCCTTTCTCCTATTTCCCCCTTTCGCCTGTCCCCCTTGCCACACCTACAGGGCTCTGCTGTGGACCCTGTTTCTCCCCCTGTACCTCGTGATCTGCCAGCTGCTATCGTGGCCAGTACCCGACGAAAAGAGCCCAACTTACAGGTCTCAGCGCGATGGTTCAGACATGAACGATGTGGAATCTGGTTTTGGCGAGGCGAGTGAGGGACAATCTGCGCTGCTGAGCTGCTGCTGCTCTCCTTGGGGTGCTGGCTTCCTAGGAAACGGTGATCTCAAGTATGGAGAGCTTGGGAACAGAGGGTTGAAGGGTGGAGAATGGAGAGGATTTTCCGCTGCTGCTGCTGCATCGGTTAGACTGTCGGGGTTGGAGGCCGATGCATCTGCAGCTGCCACGTCGCCCCTTCTCGCTCCTGCAGTTCCCACAATCACGGTTCATGGTTGACGCTGACGACAGTACTGCTGCTGAGAGTGGAGGGGTGTTCCTGCGGCCGCTGTTGCATCAGTTAGACCGTCTGGGTTGGAGGCTGATGCATCTGCAGCTGCCACGTCGCCCCTTCTCGCTCCTGCAGTTCCCACAATAACAGTTCATGGTTGACAATGACAACGATGCTACCGGTACCTGATACGAGTGGCCAACTGCGGCTGCTCTCCTCAATCTCGATGGATTCAGAGGCAAATAAACGGCCAAGAAAGTTTGGCCCACTATCCTAACATAGAGTTTTGTGTTTTCTTACAATGTGTGTGGACCCTGTATAGAATCAATATAATGATATGAGTTTATTTCAATGTACCGGTAGATCAGCACCACCCTGACGGGATTGTGTAGACGGGGATAACAACCCTGACTTCCGTTCCGTATCCCTGCTGTTGGCGCCTCCCTCACCGCCACCAGCAATTCCGTCACTCCCCACCGCTGACCCAGCCGCCAACACTCGCCAAACTCACTCAACTCTACGCATTATTCCAGCCTACATATTTTCCTCCAGTTCTATTGACAAACTCGAACATGACATATCGGATCACTTGAAGTCTTGTTCCTCACTGGACTTTTCGAGAGTTTCCGCTTGCACAGCGTTAGCCTAGTACAAAAGCCTGAACGACCCGTAATCATCGACCCGTGCCACAGCGACCCGTGCCATGATAGTACCCAACTGCTGTTATTGTACAGTCAAGTTGTTTCCACAGGCTTTCTTTTTTTAGAAGCTTCCTCTCAGCTACTCGTCTTTCGTGTTCCTTTTCTACTCTCGGATGATAGTGTTACCCAATGCAGCTGGAACAGTAGAAACAGCAAAAGCGGATACCGGCACTCAAGATGCCGTACTGTGTAGTTCCGTCAAAAGCAAGCAATGGCAAGGGAAACAATGGACCGAGTGCGAAAAAGGAAGGATGCAGTGATGACGGACAAGTGAAACTGTTCTATGAAACGTATGGTAGAGGCGACACGAAAGTGCTCATGATCATGGGTAAGTGACACGCTGAGGTCCTGGCGATACGAAATCCTAATTTTAATAACTCATTCATTTCATAACACGTTTCATAACGCATTCCAATGGCTTGTTCCTTTTTTTTTTTTTTTTCATATGTGCTGAATCTTTTCTGTCATTCTGTGACGCTTTTTCTTCCTGTCTTCTGCATCCACTACGCGTTGCAGGCTTTGCTGCCATGCACAACGCGTGGTGGCCGCAGATCAAGCCACTTTCAGGCACCAACATCCCTAACAGCAAACGGACATTGAGGAAGCCTAAAACGGGTTCTGCTGCAGCCCCTTCCGCTGCAGCCCCTTCCGCTGCCACGGCAGTCACTGGCTCAAGTGACAATGCCGCTGCTCCACCTGTCGGGCGCACGGACGACCGATCAGGTTGCACGGGAAGCGGTGACTGTACCGTTATGGTGACAACAGAGGGGGTGGAGGAGCGGAGTGATGTGCAAGCTGCTGCGGACGGTGGGCTTGAAGCGGCATTGCGGCTGGAGGATGGGGGAAATGAACAGAGGGAAGCGGAAGGATGCTCGGAGGAGAAGGAAGAGGAAGAGGAAGAGGATGAGGAGGAGGAAGAGGAAGGGGAGGATTTGTCTTTCACGGGCAGGGAGGTATGCGTTTTTGACAACCGAGGGATCGGCAAGAGCTCGTGTCCCACGGACAAGAAAGCATACACGTGCGTATATTATATTGGTGCTTCGTGTCAAGAGAGCGTATATTATATTGGTGATGTTCAGCAGCAGAAGCCTATTGGTCACGCCAGTTGTTCGTCTCGTCTCATCCCTCGTCTTGCACCTCCAGGCTCTATCGTTTCAGCAAGCAAAGCGTCTCGCTCGCGGCCCGTTTCTTCCCTCCCATATTTCAGTAACTCAAGATGCATTTTTTTGCTCATTCTCCTTTCTTCTGTATCCACCAGAACTGCGATAATGGCGAGGGATGCGCTGCATCTAGCGGATCACCTGGGCTGGACGCATTTCCACGTGGTGGGGCATTCCATGGGCGGCATGATTGCTACCAAATTAGCTGCCACCGCTCCGCACCGAGTGAAATCTCTGGCGCTTATCAGCACCAGTCGTGGCGGCTTTGACATCCTGCCCAGGGTATGCGACCTGGTCTGTGAGTATGGTATGCGACCTGGTCTGTGAGTATGGTATGCGACCTGGTCTGTGAGTATGGTATGCGACCTGGTCTGTGAGTATGGTATGCGACCTGGTCTGTGAGTATGGTATGCGACCTGGTCTGTGAGTATGGTATGCGAGTCTTCTAGACGTCGTTGCCCCTGTTCTGTGTGTTCCTCTCGAGTGCTTCTGCACATGACCCCATCTGCACATGACCCCATCTGCACATGACCCATCTGCACATGACCCATCTGCACATGACCCCATCTGCACATGACCCCATCTGCACATGACCCATCTGCACATGACCCATCTGCACATGACCCATCTGCACATGACCCATCTGCACATGACCCCATCTGCACATGACCCCATCTGCACATGACCCATCTGCACATGACCCATCTGCACATGACCCATCTGCACATGACCCCATCCACACAACCCATCTGCGCATGGCCTTGTGTCCTTATCTGCGCAAGGCCCATTCTGCCAGTCTTCCTCCCCTTCTCCCTCCCTTTCTCTCTCCCCTTCTCCCATCCCACCTCCCTCCGCATCCCCCCTTTCCTGTAAACCATTTGGACAGACGGTTCTTCTCCGTTTCGTGGGCAGGAAAGGCTGAAGGCACGCACGCTCGAGTCAAGGGCGCACGTGGATCTTGAAGACACTGGACTGCGGTTCTTCTCCGTTCCGTGGGCATGAAACTGCTCTTCAAGATTCACGTGCGCTCTTGACGCCGGTTCTTCTCCGTTTCGTGGGCGTGCACACCCGAGTCAAGGGCGCATGAGGATCTCGAAAACACTGGACTGCGGTTCTTCTCCGTTCCGTGGGCATGAAACTGATGAAGGCACGCACACCCGAGTCAAGGGCGCATGAGGATCTCGAAAACACTGGACTGCGGTTCTTCTCCGTTCCGTGGGCATGAAGGCATGCACGCCGGAGCTGAGGGCGCACGTGGATCTTGTTGCTCATTTCTTCGGTTCTCCCCTCCTCGTTTCCCTCGTCCCTGGATACCAGCTGGACCGGCGGTTCTTCTCTGTGGGCACGAAGCTGGTGACAGCACGCACGCCCGAGTCGAGAGCGCATGTTGACTTTGCTGCTCATTCTCTTCTGTTCTCCCCTCCTCGTCTCCCTCGTCCCTGGATACCAGCTGGACCGCCGGTTCTTCTCTGTGGGTACGAAGCTGGTGACAGCACGCACGCCAGAGTCCAGAGCGCATGTTGACTTTGCTGCTCATTCGCTTCTGTTCTCCCCTCCTCGTCTCCCTTGTTTTCTGGATGCCAGCTGGACCGGCGGTTCTTCTCTGTGGGCACGAAGCTGGTGACAGCACGCACGCCAGAGTCGAGAGCGCACGTGGATCTGGTGATGCACTTCTCAGAGGAGTTCATGCAGCAGATGGCTGGTAGCTCGTCACAAAAAGACCTGTTGCACGTGGTGAGCAGAGCAGCATTGCAGCATAGCAGCAGTGCAGTAAAGCGGCAGTGACTGGTGAGTGGTTCACGTCGGGGCACACAAGCCGGAGTCCAGAGCGCGCGTGGATCTGGTGATGCACTTCTTAGAGGAGTTCATGCAGCAGATGGTTGGTAGCTCGTCACAGAAAGACCTGTTGCACGTGGTGAGCAGAGCAGCACTGCAGCATAGCAGCATTGCAGCATAGCCGCATTGCAGCATAGCAGCAAAGCAGCAAAGCGGCAGTGACTGGTGAGTGGTTCGCGTCGGGGCACACAAGCAAAAGTCGAGAGCGCACGTGGATCTGGTGATGCACTTTTCCGAGGAGTTCATGCACCAGGAGGTGGTTGGCAGCTCGTCCTAGAAGGACCTGTTGCACGTGGTGAGCAGAGCAGCAGTGCAGCATGATGGGCATGATGTTCACGTGGACACACTTGCAGCGCTCTCTAGCGCTGGTGGTGGTGCAGCATTGCAGCACGTGCAAGCACTGACTGCTGCAGTGCAGTGGTCTCCAGATCTGAATCCAAGGGGCAACACAACCGTCACATGCAGCCAGGCGGCCATTGGAACACATCACATGCGTACCGGACGGACATGCACGTGCCGTTTTCAGAAGAAACGCATGCGTACCGGACCGGCTCGTTTTGGCAGCTCTCTCTAGCACTGGTGGTGCAGCAATCCAGCATGCGCTAGCACTGGCTGCTGCAGCGGCTCTCCAGAAGTGAATCAGAGGGGCGATACAGCTGCCACATGCAGCCAGGCGGCTGGTGAATCTGACTCGTGTAAATTGTGCGACCGGCTGCCTTGATGCGTCTCGATGCTGACTCCATTGAGTTGCCGGGCTGCCCTTTCTACTTTCCTCCGCCCTCCCCGTGCTGGCAGGAGTACGTGCAGTATCTGTCGGAGCCAGGGGCACTGCAGGAGCCACATGCTGGACCCACTCGTGCTACCCGTGTACCTTCCCCTTCCCCTCCACCCGTCCTCCATCCCCCATCCCGCCCTCATCGAGTGTGCAGGAGTACGTGCAGTGTCTGTCCGAACCAGGGGCAATGCAGGCGCCACACGCTACCAGCGGGCATTTGAATCCAACTAGCAAGTCCTACTCATGCTGGACGCACTCGGGCTAACCATGTACCTCTCCATCCCGCCCTCATCGTGCTGGCAGGAGTACGTGCAGTATCTGTCAGAGCCAGGGGTCCTGCAGGCGCCACATGCTGGACCCACTCGTGCTACCCGTGTACCTTCCCCTTCCCCTCCACCAGTCCCCCATCCCACCCTCCTCGTTTCTGCAGGAGTACGTGCAGTATCTGTCGGAGCCAGGGGCACTGCAGGCGCCACACGCTACCAGCGGGCATGTGAACTCAATTATCCAGCTCCACTCATGCTGGAGCCACTCGTGCTAACCGTGTACCTCCCCATTCCCCTCCACCCGTCCCCCATCCCGCCCTCCTCGTGATGACAGGAGTACGTGCAGTACCTGTCGGAGCCAGGGGCACTGCAGGCGCCACACGCTACCAGCGGCCATTTCAACGCCGTATGGACCCACAAGCTGACCCGAGAGAACGTCGACAGCATCTGCAGCGCTCGCATCCCCACTGCTGTGATCCATGGAGTGTGAGTGACTCTATTCTACACTGACAAGGCCAAGGGAAGGAAGCGGCGTGTGAACTCATGAGGTGGCTGAAGGCGGCCAAGCCATTATCGTGCTGTCTGTCTGCCTTCTGCCTTCCAGTTTGTTTGTTTGTTTGTTTTTTTTGCCAAGCTCCCGACAACAATGGCTCGATTTCGTTCACTGTTGGTTGAGAATCACATGGCGGTGCATGAAGAACCACAGGGCTGGTCCAACGAACATAAACTTCCTGCTAAGCACGCACTAACCTGGTCCAACCTGCTTATCTCGCCTTCCTTCTCGCCCCCTTCTTCCCTCCTCCCCGCAGGGACGACATTGTTGCACACGTCTCCCTGGGTGAGAAGGTGGCCAAGCGCCTGGCGTCCGTAGCCCGGTTCATCCCGCTGCTAGGGGCGCACATGTTGGTGCGGGAGCGGATCGACGAAGTGAACTCGTGTTTGGAAGAGCTGTTTGCGGCTGCGGAGGCATGTGTGCCTGTGGAGCAATGGGTGCAGCATCGCAGCGATGTATACCTGCCAGAGTCTGCACGAGAGCGGCATGGGAAGGCCAAGGAGAGGAAGATTGTGACACAATTTAGCCATGGTGCTGCTCTGCCCGCTCTCCCTTAGGGTTCCCACGTGAAAGAAGAGTGTTTTTGAGACGTCTCAAAAACACTCTTCTTTCACGCGGCATGAGAAGGCCAAGGAGAGAAAGCTTGTGACGCAATCTAGTCATGGTGCTGCTCGCTCTCCTTTAGGGAACATTCAATTCGTTCCCTTTTTGGGTTCACTCGATTTGCTATTTTCCTTTCTTTTCCTTTTCTTCAACGTTGCCCTAGTATATTTTTTTCATGCTGGGTGGTTCTTCTTCTTCTTGGTTTGCTGTCGCTCTTGTGTTGTGTTCCATGCTATGGTGTGTGTTGAAATGTGCCCCATTGTGCTCTGATTCTCTGTCCCCTCCGCCCTGACATGCTTTTTGCTCTATTGCTGCCTTACTACTGTACCTGTACCTGCATTGCCCCATCACCCTAAACCCAAAGCCCTGTCTTATTTCCGTACCCCCTTTGAACATGCCTTCAAAGTATAATGCCCATCTTTCTCGCCCTTTTTTCCCCCACCCCGCCTCCCTATTCTCACTCCTACAGGGCTGTGCTGTGCACCCTGTTTCTCCCCCTCTACCTCGTGACCTGCCAGCTGCTGTCGTGGCCTTCACCCTATGAATAGAGCCCAACTTACAAATCTTTGAGTGAGGACTCTCCTACATGAGCGACTTAGAATTGTGTACTGATGAGGCGAATGGAGCACAATCCGCGTCTCTGTGCTGCTGCTGCCGACCTCAGGTGTTTGCTTCCTGGGAAAAGGTGATTTGAAGTATAAGGAGATTGGGAACGGAGGGTTGAAGGGTGGAGAATGGAGAGGATTTTCCGCTGCTGCTGCTGCTGCTGCTGCTGCTGCTGCTGCTGCTGCTGCTGCTGCTGCTGCTGCTGCTGCTGCTGCTGCTGCTGTTGCTGCTGCAGCAGCGGTTAAACCGGCTGGGTTGGAACCAGATGCATCTGCAGCTGCCACATCGCCTCTTTTAGCTCCTGCTGTTCCCACAAGAATGGTTTATGGTTGAGGGACGATGATACTGCTTGCTGAGAGGGGCTGGCCTTTGCTTCTGCTGCTGCTGCTGCTGTCGCTGCTGTTGCAACGGTTACACCATCTGGGTTGGAACCAGATGCATCTGCAGCTGCCACATCGCCCCATTTAGCTCCTACGGTTCCCACAAGAATGGTTTATGGTTGACAGTGATGATGGTACTGCTTGGTGACACTGGAAGGGCTTTGCTGCTGCTGCTGCTGCTGCTGCTGCTGTTGCTGCCGTTGCTGCTGCTGGTGCTGCTGTTGCTGCTGCTGCTGCACCAGTTGGACTGTCTGGGTTGGAACTCGATGCATCTGATGCATCTACAGCTGCCACATCACCCCTACTTGCTCCTGCCGTTCCGACAATTATGGTTCATGGTTGACAGTGATGACGATACTGCTTGCTGACAGTGGAGGGGCTTTTGCTGCTGCTGCTGCTGCTGCTGCTGCTGCTGCTGCTGCTGCTGCTGCTGCTGCTGCTGCTGCTGCTGCTGCACCAGTTAGACTGCCTGGGTTAAAACTCGTTGCATCTGATGCATCTGCATCGCCCCTACTTGTTCCTTCCGTTCCGACAATTATGGCTCATGGTTGACAGTGACGATGCCATAGTGGAGGGGCTTTGCTGCTGCATTGGTTAGACAGTCTGGTTCGGAAGCCAATGCATCTGCAGCTGCCCCTTCTCACTCCTGCCGTTCCCACAAAATGGTTCATGGTTGACAGTGACAACGATACGAAGGGCCTTTGCTGCTGCTTCTGCTGCATTGGTTGGAGCATATGTCTTGGAACCTGGTGCATCTGCAGCTGCCAGATCACCTTCCGCGCTCCAGCCGTTACCACAATAACATTTCACAGTGACGCCAGTACTGTCTGATAAGGGTGGTCAGCTGTGCCTGTTCTCCATATACTGCCTCTCCGCCAATCTCGATGGATACAGAGGCAAATAAGTGGCCAAGACAATTTGGCCCAAGGTGTTCAAGGCTCTATAGCTAACATAGACTTTTTTACTGTTGTAAGTACATCCTCAGAACCTGGCCAATGTGGTACATTGGTTGGTGAAGAACACAATGGAAGTTACTATTGGAAGTTACTGTACTGTGTAAACTTTTGGAACTATTGCCCCCTGCCATTGAACCCCAAGCCGAGGAGTACCTCCATTTGTCGGCTACATTGTCCATCATATCATACCTACCATTAGGAGTCCCATCCCAAACGGCAAGTCTAACGTGCGTCTGACGGTTTGCTGGCCGAACCGGCAGCAGCCATATTCATCATGTCGGCCGCAACATTGTCTTTCGTGCGGCTCGACGTTAAAACCAGATCGTCTTACTGCTCCCTGTTCCCAACCTCTTCGCTTACCCCAAAACCCGCAAACGTCAATTCACGCGTTTCCACATTCTCGCGATCGTTTAGCCACGTCAGCAGCCGTCAGCCAACCAGGAGGACTGGAGTGGTTGCGATGGCGTCGCCACGGGGATCGGGGTCGAATCTGGAGAACGCGGCGCGGCAGCTGGTGAGGGACTATTGACGGCGAAACTTTAGGATCTTATGAGATATGTAAATGTGGGATGCGTTACGTTGTAACCACAGGCGTTTATGCGTGCAACAAACGACCTTACGTTCTACCTGTATGGCTGCGACCAGTATTTAGAGAGCTTAATCACCTTTCCTGCTCCTAAGAGACGTTGTTTCGTGAGCAGGAACAACGTCTCTTAATCACCTTTCCTTTCCTTCTCGAGAGCTCTCGAGCTTCTGCGACCGCATTTTCCCAACAATCTCACTCGTCCCCCCTTTCCCTTCCCCAGAATTTCAGCACCACCTTGTCCTTTCCCCAACCATCCCCTCCTTCCCCTTTACTTCCCCCTGCCCCTCCTTCCCCTCCCCCGACCTCCCCCCCCTCCTCCCCCTTCTTTCCCACCCCTTCTTCCCCCCCCCCGCTCCTTCCCCTTACCCCTCCCCTCCCCCCCCCCCCCCCCCCCCCCCCCCCACACACCCCTCCTTTTTCCCTCATCCAGCCGTCCAGCATTGCCTCATCTTCTCCTCTCACTTCCCCGTCTTTCCATGTTTTTCTCAATCTAATGTTACCACATTCTCTCACCATTATCCCCTCCCTTCTTTCCCCTTTCCCGTTTGTCTTTCTCATAATACCCCCACCGTCCTCCTCTTCATGTCCTTCCCCATTCCCCTTCTCCGCCCTCCCCCTCCTTTCCTTCCATCAGGCCCGACCGCCCAGCATTCTCTCATCTTCTCCCTCTCCTGCCGCCTTTTATTAAAGAAACAACTCGTGCTGCATGTGAAAGGAGTAAATAAGTTGCCAAAAGTTTCACACGAACATTTGGCATGGTTCCTGCTGCTCGTCCTCCATTTCTTTCAGGTGGACGATTTTGTCCGTAGTGGCATGGTGGTGGGGGTGGGGTCAGGCTTCGGCTCCTCTCTTGCTGTCACCCACCTCATTAGCAAGATCCAGAGCGGATCGCTGCGAGATATTATTGCCGTTCCCACGTAAGCTCAAGTGTGGCATTTTGAGGCCTCAGCACCTCTTTGTTTTCTGTTTTGTCCCTTAACGCATAAGTATGCTAAAGAGCTAAATTTGTGCTGCATAACTTTATTGATGCTTGTGATATTGCTTGTGATGATGCTTGCATTGATGCCTGCCTGCATGGCAGCACGGCAGCAGCAGCCGCAGAGCTTGCGCAAGCAGGAGTAGTGATGTCAACTCTTGAGGAGCATCCCAAGGTACTCTCTTCTTGTCACATTCAAAAGTTTCTCACATAAAAGGTCCTTTTATAAGCATTACATCAAATCCAGAGCGCATTACTTCTTAACGATTTGGGCCGTTGATTCTTATTCAACACTTTTTGGTTTGATTATATGAGCCTTCATTTCTTTCCCTGCCTTCTTCCTTTCCCTCATATCCCAGTGTTGACCTGACAGGTTAAAATGTGGATCAGTGGGACTTTTCTGTTATCTCTACTGTCCCATCTCATCTCCCCTCGCCTCTCATCTCTCATCCATCTCTCCACTCTCATTTCTCCTTCATCTTCCCTCTGCTCCCCCTTTCCCCCCCTTCCTTCCGCGCCCCTTTCCCTTTCTCAACCATACCTCTCAGCTCGATTTCGCCTTCACAGATGCAGACGTGGTGGAGGAAGGAACTATCTTCTCTATCATCCATACCTCTCATCTCTCCTCTTTCATCTCTCCTTATCTGTCTTTTCCCCATAACCCCCCTCAACCCTCTCCTCTCAGCTCGATTTCGCCTTCACAGATGCAGACGTGGTGCAGGAGGGAACGCTCTTCTCTATCATCGGTCGGCGCATCCCCACAAAACGAGGCTCGGTTCTCAAGGAAAAGGTGGGTGAGCTTTGAGCTTTCACACACACATCTGCTGTTTGATGCTTGCTTTAATTTCTGATAAGCTTTTTACCCCGTTTTTTTTTTTTTTTTTTTTTTTTTTCCTGCTGCGAATTTATCTCTGCACCTTTAGTTTTACGCAGTTAGAGCTTGACTGGTTTCAACGTTTACCTTAATGATTTTCTGTATGTATTGCTTTTACTTTTCCATGCTCCGTGCCATTTCCGCTGCAGTAGGCCGTGGCTCGGGCAGCTGAAACTTTAACTGTGATCGTCCCCGAGAAGCACTTTGAGGAGGGCTTGATTGATGGGGAAGTGCCCGTTGAAATCGAGCAGGTGAGGGGCGGAACGGAATGAATGAGGGTAAGTCTTGAGGCGCCTCAAAACTCACTTTGAGGAGGGCTTGATTGATGGGGAAGTGCCCGTGGAAATCGAGCAGGAGGGTAAGTTATGAGGGGCGACATTATTTTCTAAAAGCAGGAGTGGTGGAGTGATGATAAGGTTTGAGGGTCGTCGCAACGATTTTTAAGCGCATGAGGGGCACAGCAGAGGAGATTGACAATTCAGGGATTTTTTTAGAGTTCTAAAAAAGTCCTAGCAGTGGAGATTTTCAATCCACACACACGTGCTCGCCCACCAGGAATTCTTCTTGCATTGCCAATCTCCCCTGCTAGGATTGACAATCTGCTCCCCAATCCCCACCCTCTTCCCGCATTATCCCTCACGAGGAGCACTGGCTGGCTGGACATAGCAGAGGAGATTGACGACCTGTTCCTTGGGAATGCAGAGGTGTGGCAGAGGTCCACCACAGTCTTACTCACTCCCCTACCCCTACTCTCCTTCTCACCCAATCTATTTCCAGGAGCACTGGCTGGACATAGCAGAGGAGATTGATGATTTATTTCTTGGAGATGCAGAGGTGTGGCGGAGGCCCACCAGCGGCACAGCAGGGCCGTTGGGAGGGGAGTTCCCTCTGGTCACAGAGGGCGGGCACTTTGTGCTGGATGTCATTTTCACGACGCCCATCGCTGATATGAGTGAGTGATCTGAACGCAACACGTGTGTAGGATTATAGGGATGCTTGGTAAGTTGGTAGTGGCACAGCAGGGCCGTTGGGAGGGGAGTTCCCTCTGGTCACAGAGGGCGGGCACTTTGTGTTGGATGTCATTTTCACAACTTCCATCACTGATTTGAGCGAGTGACTGGGAGTAGGCAATATGTGTCTGTGTCGGGTTGTTTGGAGGCCTACCAGTGGCACGGCAGGGCCGTGGGGGGGGGGGAGTTTCCTCTGGTCACCGAAGGCGGGCACTTTGTGCTGGACGTCATTTTCACGTCTCCAATTGAAAGACGTGTGCTTGTATGAAATTCTGGCTGCACTAGCGGGCGCCTGAAAGGAGTTCCCTTTGGTCGCAGAGGGTGGGCACTTCGAGCTGGACGCCATTTTCACGACGCCCGTCGCTGATATGAGTGAAATAAGCAAATGAGAGGCGTGTGCTTGTAGTCTTGCCTGTGTGATTGTATGGGGTTCTGGCAAGGCGAGAGGGTTGTTAGGGGGAGGGGTGTTCCCTCTTATCACTGAAGGCGAGCACTTTGTGCAGGAGGTAATTTCCACAACTCCCATTGCGGGTTTGTCTACGTGGTTATGCAAGGTTTGCTGTTTACAGAGCTGCAAGCTGCAACCAAATCATGACACACAGAGCTTTCAAAATAAAAATGCTTAAACTTGTGCACAGATTTGCTTCATTTTGTGTCATAGCCAGCCTCTTCACGTTTGCCACTCTCTTTTGCAATTCTCCCTGTAACTACTCAACAGGGGATGTTGCTCGCCAGCTTGAGTCGGTGCCGGGAGTCGCAGCACATGGCATTCTCCTTGATGAAGCGTATGTAACTTGGCCCTTTCGTTTCTGTGTTTTCGTTTAATGATTCGCATGGCTGTTCGCGTATTGAAAGTTCATACATTTCATGGCATTCTATTCTCCAGCATATCCATTCGTTAAATTCATCAATCATGTCTCGGCAACACATTGTTTGTTTTCAGGTATGCTGCATCGGTGGCGACAGCGGAGGGAGTTAAAATCCGCACATCAATATTCAAGGAATCCTTTACACCTTCTGAGTCTTGAGAAACACATTGAAATGTCAAGACTTGTCACTTGGTTTTTGGCTCATGAAGATGTGCTGAAGTGGTTTTTAACTTAGCTCATTAAAGGAAGCGTATGTAACTTGGCCCTTTCGTTTCTGTGGTTTTTAACTTGGCCTTTCAGGTTGTACTCATTTATAGTATCGGTCGTGCTATGGGGAAATATTTTGCAACACCACGTCAGCAAGTATCTCGCATCTTGGGGACTTATTTCTGAACTTAACTGGGACTATCTGCGTGGGACATTTTGAGGTGGTCCGCGACACCGCACTCCACCGTGCTCTCTGACACTGCACTCCACCCAGAAGCACGAGATGGCGTACTGTTGACGGGCAGCTCTCACGAGGAGAGGCTCGATTCAGCAGTTTCCAAGGTGGAACACTTGCCCCACTCCATTGTTTTTCTGCTATCGAACACGCCCTGGGGATCCCATAGCCCAACCCAGGCCAAAACAACCAAGGGTGCTTCGAGAAACCATTAGGCCTGTTGCTGCTGAGAATCCCGGTTATTGGTTCCAGCAGCAGTGTCGGACACAACTAAATGTTCTGGAAAACCAAATGTCATACAGGCATTGCCAATATCTTGCAGGCTAAGCGGCCGTTTCAGCTGAATTCCGCGGCAACATTCATCGTGGCCGAGCCTCGTCTTCTTTTTCCCTCATTCGCAACGCAACGCAGCCCTTGATGTTCTGCTCGTTCGAGTGCGAATAGTTTAGACCCTGCATTGCCGTGTTTTCAACCGGTTGCGTTCACTGATAGCTGAATGTTGCTGAAGGGATTAGAAACCTCAATATAGTAACTTATCGAGTGCCTCTCAAGATACTAACTTATCGAGTACCTATCAATATAGTAACTTATCGAGTATCTGCCTTATCGTAGGTCATGGCGATGAATGCACACAGTGACGAGTCACGCGAGCTGGAAGACCGCCACGTGGCAGTCTCGCTGGCATCGCTTCCGGAGACGTCGTCGCTGACGGACCCCCTGCTGACACGTCGCGAGGTAATGCGCTGCGAATTACGACATAACAGTGGAATGCCGTTCATTGCCGTCATAGTCACGTGGAGGAGGGAGCGTGGGCGGAGGGGGGAAGAGGAGGGAAATGCCTGCATCCTGTCTTTCCCGTTCGTCTGCCAATGTGTATCAAAACACGTTGTCTTCTTGGCCGTTTTTATTAGCGGTTACCTATCATCTGTCGTGTCCATTGTGCGTTTCATCCTTTAATTTATCTCTCCAGCAACAGTGTAAGCCGTGCAATGCTTTCTTAGGTCGTACTCCTCGTATTCTTATTTGCAGAAGTTATAGCACTCTATCTCTACCTTCCTCTAAGTGAAATTTCATGCCTGAAAGATTTTGTTTGTGTGTGTGTGTGTGTTTTTTTTTTTTTTTTTTTTTTTTTTTTTTGCATATATTGCTTTTTGCAAGCAAGTTTTCTGTCCTTTCCCACCTCCCCCTCCATCGCAGCCCCCCACTCGCGCTGCGCGGAAGCTCCCCTTGCTCCTCGTCGTCTCCCTCTGTGCCTGTCTGCTCGCCACGCTGCTTCTGCCCCGCTCCACCCTACTCCGCCCTCGCAGTAACGACCGTCCACCTATGCAGCCGATCCCGCTGCTCCCGCCACACATGCAGATACCAGCAGCCATGCATTCCCTCTCACCGAATAGCAGCAGCAAGCACAGGAACAGCAGCAGCGTTGCACCTGTTCGTTTCTTTGCGTTTGGCGACTGGGGAAGGAAGGGAACGTTCAACCAGTCGCTGATCGCCAAGCAGGTACCACCACAGCGAAGGATGCATGCAGCAAGAGGGGCGTAGCAAGGGGATGAGATGAGCAATCACATTACGTGCTATTGAAGGGCTGGGGATACCACATGCAGATACCAGCAGCCATGCAGCCACACATGCAGATACCAGCAGCCATGCAGCCACACATGCAGATACCAGCAGCCATGCAGCCACACATGCAGATACCAGCAGCCATGCAGCCACACATGCAGATACCAGCAGCCATGCAGCCACACATGCAGATACCAGCAGCCATGCAGCCACACATGCAGATACCAGCAGCCATGCAGCCACACATGCAGATACCAGCAGCCATGCAGCCACACATGCAGATACCAGCAGCCATGCAGCCACACATGCAGATACCAGCAGCCATGCAGCCACACATGCAGATACCAGCAGCCATGCAGCCACACATGCAGATGCAGGCAGGCATGCAGCCACACATGCAGATACCAGCAGCCATGCAGCCACACATGCAGATACCAGCAGCCATGCAGCCACACATGCAGATACCAGCAGCCATGCAGCCACACATGCAGATACCAGCAGCCATGCAGCCACACATGCAGATACCAGCAGCCATGCAGCCACACATGCAGATACCAGCAGCCATGCAGCCACACATGCAGATACCAGCAGCCATGCAGCCACACATGCAGATACCAGCAGCCATGCAGCCACACATGCAGATACCAGCAGCCATGCAGCCACACATGCAGATACCAGCAGCCATGCAGCCACACATGCAGATACCAGCAGCCATGCAGCCACACATGCAGATACCAGCAGCCATGCAGCCACACATGCAGATACCAGCAGCCATGCAGCCACACATGCAGATACCAGCAGCCATGCAGCCACACATGCAGATACCAGCAGCCATGCAGCCACACATGCAGATACCAGCAGCCATGCAGCCACACATGCAGATACCAGCAGCCATGCAGCCACACATGCAGATACCAGCAGCCATGCAGCCACACATGCAGATACCAGCAGCCATGCAGCCACACATGCAGATACCAGCAGCCATGCAGCCACACATGCAGATACCAGCAGCCATGCAGCCACACATGCAGATACCAGCAGCCATGCAGCCACACATGCAGATACCAGCAGCCATGCAGCCACACATGCAGATACCAGCAGCCATGCAGCCACACATGCAGATACCAGCAGCCATGCAGCCACACATGCAGATACCAGCAGCCATGCAGCCACACATGCAGATACCAGCAGCCATGCAGCCACACATGCAGATACCAGCAGCCATGCAGCCACACATGCAGATACCAGCAGCCATGCAGCAACACATGCAGAAGCAGACAACCATGCAGCCACACATGCAGATACCAGCAGCCATGCAGCAACACATGCAGAAGCAGACAACCATGCAGCCACACATGCAGATACCAGCAGCCATGCAGCCACACATGCAGATACCAGCAGCCATGCAGCCACACATGCAGATACCAGCAGCCATGCAGCCACACATGCAGATACCAGCAGCCATGCAGCCACACATGCAGATACCAGCAGCCATGCAGCCACACATGCAGATACCAGCAGCCATGCAGCCACACATGCAGATACCAGCAGCCATGCAGCCACACATGCAGATACCAGCAGCCATGCAGCAACACATGCAGATACCAGCAGCCATGCAGCAACACATGCAGATACCAGCAGCCATGCAGCCACACATGCAGATACCAGCAGCCATGCAGCCACACATGCAGATACCAGCAGCCATGCAGCCACACATGCAGATACCAGCAGCCATGCAGCAACACATGCAGATACCAGCAGCCATGCAGCCACACATGCAGATACCAGCAGCCATGCAGCCACACATGCAGATACCAGCAGCCATGCAGCCACACATGCAGATACCAGCAGCCATGCAGCAACACATGCAGATACCAGCAGCCATGCAGCAACACATGCAGATACCAGCAGCCATGCAGCCACACATGCAGATACCAGCAGCCATGCAGCCACACATGCAGATACCAGCAGCCATGCAGCCACACATGCAGATACCAGCAGCCATGCAGCCACACATGCAGATACCAGCAGCCATGCAGCCACACATGCAGATACCAGCAGCCATGCAGCCACACATGCAGATACCAGCAGGCATGCAGCCACACATGCAGATACCAGCAGCCATGCAGCCACACATGCAGATACCAGCAGCCATGCAGCCACACATGCAGATACCAGCAGGCATGCAGCCACACATGCAGATACCAGCAGCCATGCAGCCACACATGCAGATACCAGCAGCCATGCAGCCACACATGCAGATACCAGCAGCCATGCAGCCACACATGCAGATACCAGCAGCCATGCAGCCACACATGCAGATACCAGCAGCCATGCAGCCACACATGCAGATACCAGCAGCCATGCAGCCACACATGCAGATACCAGCAGCCATGCAGCCACACATGCAGATACCAGCAGCCATGCAGCCACACATGCAGATACCAGCAGCCATGCAGCCACACATGCAGATACCAGCAGCCATGCAGCCACACATGCAGATACCAGCAGCCATGCAGCCACACATGCAGATACCAGCAGCCATGCAGCCACACATGCAGATACCAGCAGCCATGCAGCCACACATGCAGATACCAGCAGCCATGCAGCAACACATGCAGAAGCAGACAACCATGCAGCCACACATGCAGATACCAGCAGCCATGCAGCAACACATGCAGAAGCAGACAACCATGCAGCCACACATGCAGATACCAGCAGCCATGCAGCCACACATGCAGATACCAGCAGCCATGCAGCCACACATGCAGATACCAGCAGCCATGCAGCCACACATGCAGATACCAGCAGCCATGCAGCCACACATGCAGATACCAGCAGCCATGCAGCCACACATGCAGATACCAGCAGCCATGCAGCCACACATGCAGATACCAGCAGCCATGCAGCCACACATGCAGATACCAGCAGCCATGCAGCCACACATGCAGATACCAGCAGCCATGCAGCCACACATGCAGATACCAGCAGCCATGCAGCCACACATGCAGATACCAGCAGCCATGCAGCCACACATGCAGATACCAGCAGCCATGCAGCCACACATGCAGATACCAGCAGCCATGCAGCCACACATGCAGATACCAGCAGCCATGCAGCCACACATGCAGATACCAGCAGCCATGCAGCCACACATGCAGATACCAGCAGCCATGCAGCCACACATGCAGATACCAGCAGCCATGCAGCCACACATGCAGATACCAGCAGCCATGCAGCCACACATGCAGATACCAGCAGCCATGCAGCCACACATGCAGATACCAGCAGCCATGCAGCCACACATGCAGATACCAGCAGCCATGCAGCCACACATGCAGATACCAGCAGCCATGCAGCCACACATGCAGATACCAGCAGCCATGCAGCCACACATGCAGATACCAGCAGCCATGCAGCCACACATGCAGATACCAGCAGCCATGCAGCCACACATGCAGATACCAGCAGCCATGCAGCCACACATGCAGATACCAGCAGCCATGCAGCCACACATGCAGATACCAGCAGCCATGCAGCCACACATGCAGATACCAGCAGCCATGCAGCCACACATGCAGATACCAGCAGCCATGCAGCCACACATGCAGATACCAGCAGCCATGCAGCCACACATGCAGATACCAGCAGCCATGCAGCCACACATGCAGATACCAGCAGCCATGCAGCCACACATGCAGATACCAGCAGCCATGCAGCCACACATGCAGATACCAGCAGCCATGCAGCCACACATGCAGATACCAGCAGCCATGCAGCCACACATGCAGATACCAGCAGCCATGCAGCCACACATGCAGATACCAGCAGCCATGCAGCCACACATGCAGATACCAGCAGCCATGCAGCCACACATGCAGATACCAGCAGCCATGCAGCCACACATGCAGATACCAGCAGCCATGCAGCCACACATGCAGATACCAGCAGCCATGCAGCCACACATGCAGATACCAGCAGCCATGCAGCCACACATGCAGATACCAGCAGCCATGCAGCCACACATGCAGATACCAGCAGCCATGCAGCCACACATGCAGATACCAGCAGCCATGCAGCCACACATGCAGATACCAGCAGCCATGCAGCCACACATGCAGATACCAGCAGCCATGCAGCCACACATGCAGATACCAGCAGCCATGCAGCCACACATGCAGATACCAGCAGCCATGCAGCCACACATGCAGATACCAGCAGCCATGCAGCCACACATGCAGATACCAGCAGCCATGCAGCCACACATGCAGATACCAGCAGCCATGCAGCCACACATGCAGATACCAGCAGCCATGCAGCCACACATGCAGATACCAGCAGCCATGCAGCCACACATGCAGATACCAGCAGCCATGCAGCCACACATGCAGATACCAGCAGCCATGCAGCCACACATGCAGATACCAGCAGCCATGCAGCCACACATGCAGATACCAGCAGCCATGCAGCCACACATGCAGATACCAGCAGCCATGCAGCCACACATGCAGATACCAGCAGCCATGCAGCCACACATGCAGATACCAGCAGCCATGCAGCCACACATGCAGATACCAGCAGCCATGCAGCCACACATGCAGATACCAGCAGCCATGCAGCCACACATGCAGATACCAGCAGCCATGCAGCCACACATGCAGATACCAGCAGCCATGCAGCCACACATGCAGATACCAGCAGCCATGCAGCCACACATGCAGATACCAGCAGCCATGCAGCCACACATGCAGATACCAGCAGCCATGCAGCCACACATGCAGATACCAGCAGCCATGCAGCCACACATGCAGATACCAGCAGCCATGCAGCCACACATGCAGATACCAGCAGCCATGCAGCCACACATGCAGATACCAGCAGCCATGCAGCCACACATGCAGATACCAGCAGCCATGCAGCCACACATGCAGATACCAGCAGCCATGCAGCCACACATGCAGATACCAGCAGCCATGCAGCCACACATGCAGATACCAGCAGCCATGCAGCCACACATGCAGATACCAGCAGCCATGCAGCCACACATGCAGATACCAGCAGCCATGCAGCCACACATGCAGATACCAGCAGCCATGCAGCCACACATGCAGATACCAGCAGCCATGCAGCCACACATGCAGATACCAGCAGCCATGCAGCCACACATGCAGATACCAGCAGCCATGCAGCCACACATGCAGATACCAGCAGCCATGCAGCCACACATGCAGATACCAGCAGCCATGCAGCCACACATGCAGATACCAGCAGCCATGCAGCCACACATGCAGATACCAGCAGCCATGCAGCCACACATGCAGATACCAGCAGCCATGCAGCCACACATGCAGATACCAGCAGCCATGCAGCCACACATGCAGATACCAGCAGCCATGCAGCCACACATGCAGATACCAGCAGCCATGCAGCCACACATGCAGATACCAGCAGCCATGCAGCCACACATGCAGATACCAGCAGCCATGCAGCCACACATGCAGATACCAGCAGCCATGCAGCCACACATGCAGATACCAGCAGCCATGCAGCCACACATGCAGATACCAGCAGCCATGCAGCCACACATGCAGATACCAGCAGCCATGCAGCCACACATGCAGATACCAGCAGCCATGCAGCCACACATGCAGATACCAGCAGCCATGCAGCCACACATGCAGATACCAGCCATGCAGCCCATGCAGTACCAGGCAGCCACCACATGCAGATACCAGCAGCCATGCAGCCACACATGCAGATACCAGCAGCCATGCAGCCACACATGCAGATACCAGCAGCCATGCAGCCACACATGCAGATACCAGCAGCCATGCAGCCACACATGCAGATACCAGCAGCCATGCAGCCACACATGCAGATACCAGCAGCCATGCAGCCACACATGCAGATACCAGCAGCCATGCAGCCACACATGCAGATACCAGCAGCCATGCAGCCACACATGCAGATACCAGCAGCCATGCAGCCACACATGCAGATACCAGCAGCCATGCAGCCACACATGCAGATACCAGCAGCCATGCAGCCACACATGCAGATACCAGCAGCCATGCAGCCACACATGCAGATACCAGCAGCCATGCAGCCACACATGCAGATACCAGCAGCCATGCAGCCACACATGCAGATACCAGCAGCCATGCAGCCACACATGCAGATACCAGCAGCCATGCAGCCACACATGCAGATACCAGCAGCCATGCAGCCACACATGCAGATACCAGCAGCCATGCAGCCACACATGCAGATACCAGCAGCCATGCAGCCACACATGCAGATACCAGCAGCCATGCAGCCACACATGCAGATACCAGCAGCCATGCAGCCACACATGCAGATACCAGCAGCCATGCAGCCACACATGCAGATACCAGCAGCCATGCAGCCACACATGCAGATACCAGCAGCCATGCAGCCACACATGCAGATACCAGGCAAGCCATGCAGCCACACATGCAGATACCAGCAGCCATGCAGCCACACATGCAGATACCAGCAGCCATGCAGCCACACATGCAGATACCAGCAGCCATGCAGCCACACATGCAGATACCAGCAGCCATGCAGCCACACATGCAGATACCAGCAGCCATGCAGCCACACATGCAGATACCAGCAGCCATGCAGCCACACATGCAGATACCAGCAGCCATGCAGCCACACATGCAGATACCAGCAGCCATGCAGCCACAATGCAGATACCAGCAGCCATGCAGCCACACATGCAGATACCAGCAGCCATGCAGCCACACATGCAGATACCAGCAGCCATGCAGCCACACATGCAGATACCAGCAGCCATGCAGCCACACATGCAGATACCAGCAGCCATGCAGCCACACATGCAGATACCAGCAGCCATGCAGCCACACATGCAGATACCAGCAGCCATGCAGCCACACATGCAGATACCAGCAGCCATGCAGCCACACATGCAGATACCAGCAGCCATGCAGCCACACATGCAGATACCAGCAGCCATGCAGCCACACATGCAGATACCAGCAGCCATGCAGCCACACATGCAGATACCAGCAGCCATGCAGCCACACATGCAGATACCAGCAGCCATGCAGCCACACATGCAGATACCAGCAGCCATGCAGCCACACATGCAGATACCAGCAGCCATGCAGCCACACATGCAGATACCAGCAGCCATGCAGCCACACATGCAGATACCAGCAGCCATGCAGCCACACATGCAGATACCAGCAGCCATGCAGCCACACATGCAGATACCAGCAGCCATGCAGCCACACATGCAGATACCAGCAGCCATGCAGCCACACATGCAGATACCAGCAGCCATGCAGCCACACATGCAGATACCAGCAGCCATGCAGCCACACATGCAGATACCAGCAGCCATGCAGCCACACATGCAGATACCAGCAGCCATGCAGCCACACATGCAGATACCAGCAGCCATGCAGCCACACATGCAGATACCAGCAGCCATGCAGCCACACATGCAGATACCAGCAGCCATGCAGCCACACATGCAGATACCAGCAGCCATGCAGCCACACATGCAGATACCAGCAGCCATGCAGCCACACATGCAGATACCAGCAGCCATGCAGCCACACATGCAGATACCAGCAGCCATGCAGCCACACATGCAGATACCAGCAGCCATGCAGCCACACATGCAGATACCAGCAGCCATGCAGCCACACATGCAGATACCAGCAGCCATGCAGCCACACATGCAGATACCAGCAGCCATGCAGCCACACATGCAGATACCAGCAGCCATGCAGCCACACATGCAGATACCAGCAGCCATGCAGCCACACATGCAGATACCAGCAGCCATGCAGCCACACATGCAGATACCAGCAGCCATGCAGCCACACATGCAGATACCAGCAGCCATGCAGCCACACATGCAGATACCAGCAGCCATGCAGCCACACATGCAGATACCAGCAGCCATGCAGCCACACATGCAGATACCAGCAGCCATGCAGCCACACATGCAGATACCAGCAGCCATGCAGCCACACATGCAGATACCAGCAGCCATGCAGCCACACATGCAGATACCAGCAGCCATGCAGCCACACATGCAGATACCAGCAGCCATGCAGCCACACATGCAGATACCAGCAGCCATGCAGCCACACATGCAGATACCAGCAGCCATGCAGCCACACATGCAGATACCAGCAGCCATGCAGCCACACATGCAGATACCAGCAGCCATGCAGCCACACATGCAGATACCAGCAGCCATGCAGCCACACATGCAGATACCAGCAGCCATGCAGCCACACATGCAGATACCAGCAGCCATGCAGCCACACATGCAGATACCAGCAGCCATGCAGCCACACATGCAGATACCAGCAGCCATGCAGCCACACATGCAGATACCAGCAGCCATGCAGCCACACATGCAGATACCAGCAGCCATGCAGCCACACATGCAGATACCAGCAGCCATGCAGCCACACATGCAGATACCAGCAGCCATGCAGCCACACATGCAGATACCAGCAGCCATGCAGCCACACATGCAGATACCAGCAGCCATGCAGCCACACATGCAGATACCAGCAGCCATGCAGCCACACATGCAGATACCAGCAGCCATGCAGCCACACATGCAGATACCAGCAGCCATGCAGCCACACATGCAGATACCAGCAGCCATGCAGCCACACATGCAGATACCAGCAGCCATGCAGCCACACATGCAGATACCAGCAGCCATGCAGCCACACATGCAGATACCAGCAGCCATGCAGCCACACATGCAGATACCAGCAGCCATGCAGCCACACATGCAGATACCAGCAGCCATGCAGCCACACATGCAGATACCAGCAGCCATGCAGCCACACATGCAGATACCAGCAGCCATGCAGCCACACATGCAGATACCAGCAGCCATGCAGCCACACATGCAGATACCAGCAGCCATGCAGCCACACATGCAGATACCAGCAGCCATGCAGCCACACATGCAGATACCAGCAGCCATGCAGCCACACATGCAGATACCAGCAGCCATGCAGCCACACATGCAGATACCAGCAGCCATGCAGCCACACATGCAGATACCAGCAGCCATGCAGCCACACATGCAGATACCAGCAGCCATGCAGCCACACATGCAGATACCAGCAGCCATGCAGCCACACATGCAGATACCAGCAGCCATGCAGCCACACATGCAGATACCAGCAGCCATGCAGCCACACATGCAGATACCAGCAGCCATGCAGCCACACATGCAGATACCAGCAGCCATGCAGCCACACATGCAGATACCAGCAGCCATGCAGCCACACATGCAGATACCAGCAGCCATGCAAGCCACACATGCAGATACCAGCAGCCATGCAGCCACACATGCAGATACCAGCAGCCATGCAGCCACACATGCAGATACCAGCAGCCATGCAGCCACACATGCAGATACCAGCAGCCATGCAGCCACACATGCAGATACCAGCAGCCATGCAGCCACACATGCAGATACCAGCAGCCATGCAGCCACACATGCAGATACCAGCAGCCATGCAGCCACACATGCAGATACCAGCAGCCATGCAGCCACACATGCAGATACCAGCAGCCATGCAGCCACACATGCAGATACCAGCAGCCATGCAGCCACACATGCAGATACCAGCAGCCATGCAGCCACACATGCAGATACCAGCAGCCATGCAGCCACACATGCAGATACCAGCAGCCATGCAGCCACACATGCAGATACCAGCAGCCATGCAGCCACACATGCAGATACCAGCAGCCATGCAGCCACACATGCAGATACCAGCAGCCATGCAAGCCACACATGCAGATACCAGCAGCCATGCAGCCACACATGCAGATACCAGCAGCCATGCAGCCACACATGCAGATACCAGCAGCCATGCAGCCACACATGCAGATACCAGCAGCCATGCAGCCACACATGCAGATACCAGCAGCCATGCAGCCACACATGCAGATACCAGCAGCCATGCAGCCACACATGCAGATACCAGCAGCCATGCAGCCACACATGCAGATACCAGCAGCCATGCAGCCACACATGCAGATACCAGCAGCCATGCAGCCACACATGCAGATACCAGCAGCCATGCAGCCACACATGCAGATACCAGCAGCCATGCAGCCACACATGCAGATACCAGCAGCCATGCAGCCACACATGCAGATACCAGCAGCCATGCAGCCACACATGCAGATACCAGCAGCCATGCAGCCACACATGCAGATACCAGCAGCCATGCAGCCACACATGCAGATACCAGCAGCCATGCAGCCACACATGCAGATACCAGCAGCCATGCAGCCACACATGCAGATACCAGCAGCCATGCAGCCACACATGCAGATACCAGCAGCCATGCAGCCACACATGCAGATACCAGCAGCCATGCAGCCACACATGCAGATACCAGCAGCCATGCAGCCACACATGCAGATACCAGCAGCCATGCAGCCACACATGCAGATACCAGCAGCCATGCAGCCACACATGCAGATACCAGCAAGCCATGCAGCCACACATGCAGATACCAGCAGCCATGCAGCCACACATGCAGATACCAGCAGCCATGCAGCCACACATGCAGATACCAGCAGCCATGCAGCCACACATGCAGATACCAGCAGCCATGCAGCCACACATGCAGATACCAGCAGCCATGCAGCCACACATGCAGATACCAGCAGCCATGCAGCCACACATGCAGATACCAGCAGCCATGCAGCCACACATGCAGATACCAGCAGCCATGCAGCCACACATGCAGATACCAGCAGCCATGCAGCCACACATGCAGATACCAGCAGCCATGCAGCCACACATGCAGATACCAGCAGCCATGCAGCCACACATGCAGATACAGCAGCATGCAGCCACACATGCAGATACCAGCTAGCCAGGCCACACATGCAGATACCAGCAGCCATGCAGCCACACATGCAGATACCAGCAGCCATGCAGCCACACATGCAGATACCAGCAGCCATGCAGCCACACATGCAGATACCAGCAGCCATGCAGCCACACATGCAGATACCAGCAGCCATGCAGCCACACATGCAGATACCAGCAGCCATGCAGCCACACATGCAGATACCAGCAGCCATGCAGCCACACATGCAGATACCAGCAGCCATGCAGCCACACATGCAGATACCAGCAGCCATGCAGCCACACATGCAGATACCAGCAGCCATGCAGCCACACATGCAGATACCAGCAGCCATGCAGCCACACATGCAGATACCAGCAGCCATGCAGCCACACATGCAGATACCAGCAGCCATGCAGCCACACATGCAGATACCAGCAGCCATGCAGCCACACATGCAGATACCAGCAGCCATGCAGCCACACATGCAGATACCAGCAGCCATGCAGCCACACATGCAGATACCAGCAGCCATGCAGCCACACATGCAGATACCAGCAGCCATGCAGCCACACATGCAGATACCAGCAGCCATGCAGCCACACATGCAGATACCAGCAGCCATGCAGCCACACATGCAGATACCAGCAGCCATGCAGCCACACATGCAGATACCAGCAGCCATGCAGCCACACATGCAGATACCAGCAGCCATGCAGCCACACATGCAGATACCAGCAGCCATGCAGCCACACATGCAGATACCAGCAGCCATGCAGCCACACATGCAGATACCAGCAGCCATGCAGCCACACATGCAGATACCAGCAGCCATGCAGCCACACATGCAGATACCAGCAGCCATGCAGCCACACATGCAGATACCAGCAGCCATGCAGCCACACATGCAGATACCAGCAGCCATGCAGCCACACATGCAGATACCAGCAGCCATGCAAGCCACACATGCAGATACCAGCAGCCATGCAGCCACACATGCAGATACCAGCAGCCATGCAGCCACACATGCAGATACCAGCAGCCATGCAGCCACACATGCAGATACCAGCAGCCATGCAGCCACACATGCAGATACCAGCAGCCATGCAGCCACACATGCAGATACCAGCAGCCATGCAGCCACACATGCAGATACCAGCAGCCATGCAGCCACACATGCAGATACCAGCAGCCATGCAGCCACACATGCAGATACCAGCAGCCATGCAGCCACACATGCAGATACCAGCAGCCATGCAGCCACACATGCAGATACCAGCAGCCATGCAGCCACACATGCAGATACCAGCAGCCATGCAGCCACACATGCAGATACCAGCAGCCATGCAGCCACACATGCAGATACCAGCAGCCATGCAGCCACACATGCAGATACCAGCAGCCATGCAGCCACACATGCAGATACCAGCAGCCATGCAGCCACACATGCAGATACCAGCAGCCATGCAGCCACACATGCAGATACCAGCAGCCATGCAGCCACACATGCAGATACCAGCAGCCATGCAGCCACACATGCAGATACCAGCAGCCATGCAGCCACACATGCAGATACCAGCAGCCATGCAGCCACACATGCAGATACCAGCAGCCATGCAGCCACACATGCAGATACCAGCAGCCATGCAGCCACACATGCAGATACCAGCAGCCATGCAGCCACACATGCAGATACCAGCAGCCATGCAGCCACACATGCAGATACCAGCAGCCATGCAGCCACACATGCAGATACCAGCAGCCATGCAGCCACACATGCAGATACCAGCAGCCATGCAGCCACACATGCAGATACCAGCAGCCATGCAGCCACACATGCAGATACCAGCAGCCATGCAGCCACACATGCAGATACCAGCAGCCATGCAGCCACACATGCAGATACCAGCAGCCATGCAGCCACACATGCAGATACCAGCAGCCATGCAGCCACACATGCAGATACCAGCAGCCATGCAGCCACACATGCAGATACCAGCAGCCATGCAGCCACACATGCAGATACCAGCAGCCATGCAGCCACACATGCAGATACCAGCAGCCATGCAGCCACACATGCAGATACCAGCAGCCATGCAGCCACACATGCAGATACCAGCAGCCATGCAGCCACACATGCAGATACCAGCAGCCATGCAGCCACACATGCAGATACCAGCAGCCATGCAGCCACACATGCAGATACCAGCAGCCATGCAGCCACACATGCAGATACCAGCAGCCATGCAGCCACACATGCAGATACCAGCAGCCATGCAGCCACACATGCAGATACCAGCAGCCATGCAGCCACACATGCAGATACCAGCAGCCATGCAGCCACACATGCAGATACCAGCAGCCATGCAGCCACACATGCAGATACCAGCAGCCATGCAAGCAGCCACACATGCAGATACCAGCAGCCATGCAGCCACACATGCAGATACCAGCAGCCATGCAGCCACACATGCAGATACCAGCAGCCATGCAGCCACACATGCAGATACCAGCAGCCATGCAGCCACACATGCAGATACCAGCAGCCATGCAGCCACACATGCAGATACCAGCAGCCATGCAGCCACACATGCAGATACCAGCAGCCATGCAGCCACACATGCAGATACCAGCAGCCATGCAGCCACACATGCAGATACCAGCAGCCATGCAGCCACACATGCAGATACCAGCAGCCATGCAGCCACACATGCAGATACCAGCAGCCATGCAGCCACACATGCAGATACCAGCAGCCATGCAGCCACACATGCAGATACCAGCAGCCATGCAGCCACACATGCAGATACCAGCAGCCATGCAGCCACACATGCAGATACCAGCAGCCATGCAGCCACACATGCAGATACCAGCAGCCATGCAGCCACACATGCAGATACCAGCAGCCATGCAGCCACACATGCAGATACCAGCAGCCATGCAGCCACACATGCAGATACCAGCAGCCATGCAGCCACACATGCAGATACCAGCAGCCATGCAGCCACACATGCAGATACCAGCAGCCATGCAGCCACACATGCAGATACCAGCAGCCATGCAGCCACACATGCAGATACCAGCAGCCATGCAGCCACACATGCAGATACCAGCAGCCATGCAGCCACACATGCAGATACCAGCAGCCATGCAGCCACACATGCAGATACCAGCAGCCATGCAGCCACACATGCAGATACCAGCAGCCATGCAGCCACACATGCAGATACCAGCAGCCATGCAGCCACACATGCAGATACCAGCAGCCATGCAGCCACACATGCAGATACCAGCAGCCATGCAAGGCCACACATGCAGATACCAGCAGCCATGCAGCCACACATGCAGATACCAGCAGCCATGCAGCCACACATGCAGATACCAGCAGCCATGCAGCCACACATGCAGATACCAGCAGCCATGCAGCCACACATGCAGATACCAGCAGCCATGCAGCCACACATGCAGATACCAGCAGCCATGCAGCCACACATGCAGATACCAGCAGCCATGCAGCCACACATGCAGATACCAGCAGCCATGCAGCCACACATGCAGATACCAGCAGCCATGCAGCCACACATGCAGATACCAGCAGCCATGCAGCCACACATGCAGATACCAGCAGCCATGCAGCCACACATGCAGATACCAGCAGCCATGCAGCCACACATGCAGATACCAGCAGCCATGCAGCCACACATGCAGATACCAGCAGCCATGCAGCCACACATGCAGATACCAGCAGCCATGCAGCCACACATGCAGATACCAGCAGCCATGCAGCCACACATGCAGATACCAGCAGCCATGCAGCCACACATGCAGATACCAGCAGCCATGCAGCCACACATGCAGATACCAGCAGCCATGCAGCCACACATGCAGATACCAGCAGCCATGCAGCCACACATGCAGATACCAGCAGCCATGCAGCCACACATGCAGATACCAGCAGCCATGCAGCCACACATGCAGATACCAGCAGCCATGCAGCCACACATGCAGATACCAGCAGCCATGCAGCCACACATGCAGATACCAGCAGCCATGCAGCCACACATGCAGATACCAGCAGCCATGCAGCCACACATGCAGATACCAGCAGCCATGCAGCCACACATGCAGATACCAGCAGCCATGCAGCCACACATGCAGATACCAGCAGCCATGCAGCCACACATGCAGATACCAGCAGCCATGCAGCCACACATGCAGATACCAGCAGCCATGCAGCCACACATGCAGATACCAGCAGCCATGCAGCCACACATGCAGATACCAGCAGCCATGCAGCCACACATGCAGATACCAGCAGCCATGCAGCCACACATGCAGATACCAGCAGCCATGCAGCCACACATGCAGATACCAGCAGCCATGCAGCCACACATGCAGATACCAGCAGCCATGCAGCCACACATGCAGATACCAGCAGCCATGCAGCCACACATGCAGATACCAGCAGCCATGCAGCCACACATGCAGATACCAGCAGCCATGCAGCCACACATGCAGATACCAGCAGCCATGCAGCCACACATGCAGATACCAGCAGCCATGCAGCCACACATGCAGATACCAGCAGCCATGCAGCCACACATGCAGATACCAGCAGCCATGCAGCCACACATGCAGATACCAGCAGCCATGCAGCCACACATGCAGATACCAGCAGCCATGCAGCCACACATGCAGATACCAGCAGCCATGCAGCCACACATGCAGATACCAGCAGCCATGCAGCCACACATGCAGATACCAGCAGCCATGCAGCCACACATGCAGATACCAGCAGCCATGCAGCCACACATGCAGATACCAGCAGCCATGCAGCCACACATGCAGATACCAGCAGCCATGCAGCCACACATGCAGATACCAGCAGCCATGCAGCCACACATGCAGATACCAGCAGCCATGCAGCCACACATGCAGATACCAGCAGCCATGCAGCCACACATGCAGATACCAGCAGCCATGCAGCCACACATGCAGATACCAGCAGCCATGCAGCCACACATGCAGATACCAGCAGCCATGCAGCCACACATGCAGATACCAGCAGCCATGCAGCCACACATGCAGATACCAGCAGCCATGCAGCCACACATGCAGATACCAGCAGCCATGCAGCCACACATGCAGATACCAGCAGCCATGCAGCCACACATGCAGATACCAGCAGCCATGCAGCCACACATGCAGATACCAGCAGCCAATGCAGCCACACATGCAGATACCAGCAGCCATGCAGCCACACATGCAGATACCAGCAGCCATGCAGCCACACATGCAGATACCAGCAGCCATGCAGCCACACATGCAGATACCAGCAGCCATGCAGCCACACATGCAGATACCAGCAGCCATGCAGCCACACATGCAGATACCAGCAGCCATGCAGCCACACATGCAGATACCAGCAGCCATGCAGCCACACATGCAGATACCAGCAGCCATGCAGCCACACATGCAGATACCAGCAGCCATGCAGCCACACATGCAGATACCAGCAGGCCATGCAGCCACACATGCAGATACCAGCAGCCATGCAGCCACACATGCAGATACCAGCAGCCATGCAGCCACACATGCAGATACCAGCAGCCATGCAGCCACACATGCAGATACCAGCAGCCATGCAGCCACACATGCAGATACCAGCAGCCATGCAGCCACACATGCAGATACCAGCAGCCATGCAGCCACACATGCAGATACCAGCAGCCATGCAGCCACACATGCAGATACCAGCAGCCATGCAGCCACACATGCAGATACCAGCAGCCATGCAGCCACACATGCAGATACCAGCAGCCATGCAGCCACACATGCAGATACCAGCAGCCATGCAGCCACACATGCAGATACCAGCAGCCATGCAGCCACACATGCAGATACCAGCAGCCATGCAGCCACACATGCAGATACCAGCAGCCATGCAGCCACACATGCAGATACCAGCAGCCATGCAGCCACACATGCAGATACCAGCAGCCATGCAGCCACACATGCAGATACCAGCAGCCATGCAGCCACACATGCAGATACCAGCAGCCATGCAGCCACACATGCAGATACCAGCAGCCATGCAGCCACACATGCAGATACCAGCAGCCATGCAGCCACACATGCAGATACCAGCAGCATGCAGCCACACATGCAGATACCAGCAGCCATGCAGCCACACATGCAGATACCAGCAGCCATGCAGCCACACATGCAGATACCAGCAGCCATGCAGCCACACATGCAGATACCAGCAGCCATGCAGCCACACATGCAGATACCAGCAGCCATGCAGCCACACATGCAGATACCAGCAGCCATGCAGCCACACATGCAGATACCAGCAGCCATGCAGCCACACATGCAGATACCAGCAGCCATGCAGCCACACATGCAGATACCAGCAGCCATGCAGCCACACATGCAGATACCAGCAGCCATGCAGCCACACATGCAGATACCAGCAGCCATGCAGCCACACATGCAGATACCAGCAGCCATGCAGCCACACATGCAGATACCAGCAGCCATGCAGCCACACATGCAGATACCAGCAGCCATGCAGCCACACATGCAGATACCAGCAGCCATGCAGCCACACATGCAGATACCAGCAGCCATGCAGCCACACATGCAGATACCAGCAGCCATGCAGCCACACATGCCAGCAGGCCATGCAGCCACACATGCAGATACCAGCAGCCATGCAGCCACACATGCAGATACCAGCAAGCCATGCAGCCACACATGCAGATACCAGCAGCCATGCAGCCACACATGCAGATACCAGCAGCCATGCAGCCACACATGCAGATACCAGCAGCCATGCAGCCACACATGCAGATACCAGCAGCCATGCAGCCACACATGCAGATACCAGCAGCCATGCAGCCACACATGCAGATACCAGCAGCCATGCAGCCACACATGCAGATACCAGCAGCCATGCAGCCACACATGCAGATACCAGCAGCCATGCAGCCACACATGCAGATACCAGCAGCCATGCAGCCACACATGCAGATACCAGCAGCCATGCAGCCACACATGCAGATACCAGCAGCCATGCAGCCACACATGCAGATACCAGCAAGCCATGCAGCCACACATGCAGATACCAGCAGCCATGCAGCCACACATGCAGATACCAGCAGCCATGCAGCCACACATGCAGATACCAGCAGCCATGCAGCCACACATGCAGATACCAGCAGCCATGCAGCCACACATGCAGATACCAGCAGCCATGCAGCCACACATGCAGATACCAGCAGCCATGCAGCCACACATGCAGATACCAGCAGCCATGCAGCCACACATGCAGATACCAGCAGCCATGCAGCCACACATGCAGATACCAGCAGCCATGCAGCCACACATGCAGATACCAGCAGCCATGCAGCCACACATGCAGATACCAGCAGCCATGCAGCCACACATGCAGATACCAGCAGCCATGCAGCCACACATGCAGATACCAGCAGCCATGCAGCCACACATGCAGATACCAGCAGCCATGCAGCCACACATGCAGATACCAGCAGCCATGCAGCCACACATGCAGATACCAGCAGCCATGCAGCCACACATGCAGATACCAGCAGCCATGCAGCCACACATGCAGATACCAGCAGCCATGCAGCCACACATGCAGATACCAGCAGCCATGCAGCCACACATGCAGATACCAGCAGCCATGCAGCCACACATGCAGATACCAGCAGCCATGCAGCCACACATGCAGATACCAGCAGCCATGCAGCCACACATGCAGATACCAGCAGCCATGCAGCCACACATGCAGATACCAGCAGCCATGCAGCCACACATGCAGATACCAGCAGCCATGCAGCCACACATGCAGATACCAGCAGCCATGCAGCCACACATGCAGATACCAGCAAGCCATGCAGCCACACATGCAGATACCAGCAGCCATGCAGCCACACATGCAGATACCAGCAGCCATGCAGCCACACATGCAGATACCAGCAGCCATGCAGCCACACATGCAGATACCAGCAGCCATGCAGCCACACATGCAAGATACCAGCAGCCATGCAGCCACACATGCAGATAACCAGCAGCCATGCAGCCACACATGCAGATACCAGCAGCCATGCAGCCACACATGCAGATACCAGCAGCCATGCAGCCACACATGCAGATACCAGCAGCCATGCAGCCACACATGCAGATACCAGCAGCCATGCAGCCACACATGCAGATACCAGCAGCCATGCAGCCACACATGCAGATACCAGCAGCCATGCAGCCACACATGCAGATACCAGCAGCCATGCAGCCACACATGCAGATACCAGCAGCCATGCAGCCACACATGCAGATACCAGCAGCCATGCAGCCACACATGCAGATACCAGCAGCCATGCAGCCACACATGCAGATACCAGCAGCCATGCAGCCACACATGCAGATACCAGCAGCCATGCAGCCACACATGCAGATACCAGCAGCCATGCAGCCACACATGCAGATACCAGCAGCCATGCAGCCACACATGCAGATACCAGCAGCCATGCAGCCACACATGCAGATACCAGCAGCCATGCAGCCACACATGCAGATACCAGCAGCCATGCAGCCACACATGCAGATACCAGCAGCCATGCAGCCACACATGCAGATACCAGCAGCCATGCAGCCACACATGCAGATACCAGCAGCCATGCAGCCACACATGCAGATACCAGCAGCCATGCAGCCACACATGCAGATACCAGCAGCCATGCAGCCACACATGCAGATACCAGCAGCATGCAGCCACACATGCAGATACCAGCAGCCATGCAGCCACACATGCAGATACCAGCAGCCATGCAGCCACACATGCAGATACCAGCAGCCATGCAGCCACACATGCAGATACCAGCAGCCATGCAGCCACACATGCAGATACCAGCAGCCATGCAGCCACACAATGCAGATACCAGCAGCCATGCAGCCACACATGCAGATACCAGCAGCCATGCAGCCACACATGCAGATACCAGCAGCCATGCAGCCACACATGCAGATACCAGCAGCCATGCAGCCACACATGCAGATACCAGCAGCCATGCAGCCACACATGCAGATACCAGCAGCCATGCAGCCACACATGCAGATACCAGCAGCCATGCAGCCACACATGCAGATACCAGCAGCCATGCAGCCACACATGCAGATACCAGCAGCCATACCAGCAGCCATGCAGCACACATGCAGATACCAGCAGCCATGCAGCCACACATGCAGATACCAGCAGCCATGCAGCCACACATGCAGATACCAGCAGCCATGCAGCCACACATGCAGATACCAGCAGCCATGCAGCCACACATGCAGATACCAGCAGCCATGCAGCCACACATGCAGATACCAGCAGCCATGCAGCCACACATGCAGATACCAGCAGCCATGCAGCCACACATGCAGATACCAGCAGCCATGCAGCCACACATGCAGATACCAGCAGCCATGCAGCCACACATGCAGATACCAGCAGCCATGCAGCCACACATGCAGATACCAGCAGCCATGCAGCCACACATGCAGATACCAGCAGCCATGCAGCCACACATGCAGATACCAGCAGCCATGCAGCCACACATGCAGATACCAGCAGCCATGCAGCCACACATGCAGATACCAGCAGCCATGCAGCCACACATGCAGATACCAGCAGCCATGCAGCCACACATGCAGATACCAGCAGCCATGCAGCCACACATGCAGATACCAGCAGCCATGCAGCCACACATGCAGATACCAGCAGCCATGCAGCCACACATGCAGATACCAGCAGCCATGCAGCCACACATGCAGATACCAGCAGCCATGCAGCCACACATGCAGATACCAGCAGCCATGCAGCCACACATGCAGATACCAGCAGCCATGCAGCCACACATGCAGATACCAGCAGCCATGCAGCCACACATGCAGATACCAGCAGCCATGCAGCCACACATGCAGATACCAGCAGCCATGCAGCCACACATGCAGATACCAGCAGCCATGCAGCCACACATGCAGATACCAGCAGCCATGCAGCCACACATGCAGATACCAGCAGCCATGCAGCCACACATGCAGATACCAGCAGCCATGCAGCCACACATGCAGATACCAGCAGCCATGCAGCCACACATGCAGATACCAGCAGCCATGCAGCCACACATGCAGATACCAGCAGCCATGCAGCCACACATGCAGATACCAGCAGCCATGCAGCCACACATGCAGATACCAGCAGCCATGCAGCCACACATGCAGATACCAGCAGCCATGCAGCCACACATGCAGATACCAGCAGCCATGCAGCCACACATGCAGATACCAGCAGCCATGCAGCCACACATGCAGATACCAGCAGCCATGCAGCCACACATGCAGATACCAGCAGCCATGCAGCCACACATGCAGATACCAGCAGCCATGCAGCCACACATGCAGATACCAGCAGCCATGCAGCCACACATGCAGATACCAGCAGCCATGCAGCCACACATGCAGATACCAGCAGCCATGCAGCCACACATGCAGATACCAGCAGCCATGCAGCCACACATGCAGATACCAGCAGCCATGCAGCCACACATGCAGATACCAGCAGCCATGCAGCCACACATGCAGATACCAGCAGCCATGCAGCCACACATGCAGATACCAGCAGCCATGCAGCCACACATGCAGATACCAGCAGCCATGCAGCCACACATGCAGATACCAGCAGCCATGCAGCCACACATGCAGATACCAGCAGCCATGCAGCCACACATGCAGATACCAGCAGCCATGCAGCCACACATGCAGATACCAGCAGCCATGCAGCCACACATGCAGATACCAGCAGCCATGCAGCCACACATGCAGATACCAGCAGCCATGCAGCCACACATGCAGATACCAGCAGCCATGCAGCCACACATGCAGATACCAGCAGCCATGCAGCCACACATGCAGATACCAGCAGCCATGCAGCCACACATGCAGATACCAGCAGCCATGCAGCCACACATGCAGATACCAGCAGCCATGCAGCCACACATGCAGATACCAGCAGCCATGCAGCCACACATGCAGATACCAGCAGCCATGCAGCCACACATGCAGATACCAGCAGCCATGCAGCCACACATGCAGATACCAGCAGCCATGCAGCCACACATGCAGATACCAGCAGCCATGCAGCCACACATGCAGATACCAGCAGCCATGCAGCCACACATGCAGATACCAGCAGCCATGCAGCCACACATGCAGATACCAGCAGCCATGCAGCCACACATGCAGATACCAGCAGGCATGCAGCCACACATGCAGATACCAGCAGCCATGCAGCCACACATGCAGATACCAGCAGCCATGCAGCCACACATGCAGATACCAGCAGCCATGCAGCCACACATGCAGATACCAGCAGCCATGCAGCCACACATGCAGATACCAGCAGCCATGCAGCCACACATGCAGATACCAGCAGCCATGCAGCCACACATGCAGATACCAGCAGCCATGCAGCCACACATGCAGATACCAGCAGCCATGCAGCCACACATGCAGATACCAGCAGCCATGCAGCCACACATGCAGATACCAGCAGCCATGCAGCCACACATGCAGATACCAGCAGCCATGCAGCCACACATGCAGATACCAGCAGCCATGCAGCCACACATGCAGATACCAGCAGCCATGCAGCCACACATGCAGATACCAGCAGCCATGCAGCCACACATGCAGATACCAGCAGCATGCAGCCACACATGCAGATACCAGCAGCCATGCAGCCACACATGCAGATACCAGCAGCCATGCAGCCACACATGCAGATACCAGCAGCCATGCAGCCACACATGCAGATACCAGCAGCCATGCAGCCACACATGCAGATACCAGCAGCCATGCAGCCACACATGCAGATACCAGCAGCCATGCAGCCACACATGCAGATACCAGCAGCCATGCAGCCACACATGCAGATACCAGCAGCCATGCAGCCACACATGCAGATACCAGCAGCCATGCAGCCACACATGCAGATACCAGCAGCCATGCAGCCACACATGCAGATACCAGCAGCCATGCAGCCACACATGCAGATACCAGCAGCCATGCAGCCACACATGCAGATACCAGCAGCCATGCAGCCACACATGCAGATACCAGCAGCCATGCAGCCACACATGCAGATACCAGCAGCCATGCAGCCACACATGCAGATACCAGCAGCCATGCAGCCACACATGCAGATACCAGCAGCCATGCAGCCACACATGCAGATACCAGCAGCCATGCAGCCACACATGCAGATACCAGCAGCCATGCAGCCACACATGCAGATACCAGCAGCCATGCAGCCACACATGCAGATACCAGCAGCCATGCAGCCACACATGCAGATACCAGCAGCCATGCAGCCACACATGCAGATACCAGCAGCCATGCAGCCACACATGCAGATACCAGCAGCCATGCAGCCACACATGCAGATACCAGCAGCCATGCAGCCACACATGCAGATACCAGCAGCCATGCAGCCACACATGCAGATACCAGCAGCCATGCAGCCACACATGCAGATACCAGCAGCCATGCAGCCACACATGCAGATACCAGCAGCCATGCAGCCACACATGCAGATACCAGCAGCCATGCAGCCACACATGCAGATACCAGCAGCCATGCAGCCACACATGCAGATACCAGCAGCCATGCAGCCACACATGCAGATACCAGCAGCCATGCAGCCACACATGCAGATACCAGCAGCCATGCAGCCACACATGCAGATACCAGCAGCCATGCAGCCACACATGCAGATACCAGCAGCCATGCAGCCACACATGCAGATACCAGCAGCCATGCAGCCACACATGCAGATACCAGCAGCCATGCAGCCACACATGCAGATACCAGCAGCCATGCAGCCACACATGCAGATACCAGCAGCCATGCAGCCACACATGCAGATACCAGCAGCCATGCAGCCACACATGCAGATACCAGCAGCCATGCAGCCACACATGCAGATACCAGCAGCCATGCAGCCACACATGCAGATACCAGCAGCCA